TTCCCAGGCAGAACCAGGTTTGCCTCCTTTTTCTCTACCTTACCAAGGTTCGAGGCAGAAAGCTCAAACCTGGGTGCTACCTGGGTGACTGGTTTTCCTCTTGGGAAATATTTTACTTTTAGGTTTAAGGAGTCCCTTGCCCCTTTCAACTTGGTATTACCAAATTGAATTTCATCAAGAAAATCAACCTCAGTCGGGCATGGTGGCACATGCCTGTAATCCCAGCACTCCAGAGGCTTAGGCAGGAGGATTGCTGTGAGTTCAAGACCAGCCTGGGCCACATCGTGAGGTCCAGGTTAGTCTCAACTACACAGTGAGACTCTGTCTCAAAAAAAAAAAAAAAAGAAAAAAAAGAAAAAGAAAATCAGCCTCCTTTTACATACACAAGACCTGAGGGCCCAAAGTTGGACATTATTTACCTAAGGTTTTGGAGAGGAGAGGAGAGGAAACTCAACTTAAGAGCACAGTATTGATGACAGGCTCAGTGATGGCAAACTTTTTAGAGCTATCAATGATACAAAGAGCTCACTGTGGCACGAGTGCCATAGGTTTGCCACCACTGCTGAAGACAGGGTGAGTGAGGCAAAAATCATTTGCTATGTCTTTTATTTAATTAATGAATTAATTTATGAGGTACTAGGAATGGAATCCAAGGCCTCATGTGTATGAGGCAATTGCTCTGTCACTGAGCTACCTCTTAGCTGTCTTTTATTATTTATTGTTTGAGGCACTGGGGACTGAACCCAGGGCCTTCACACTGAGCTACATCCCCAGTCCTTCCTCTGAGACAGAGGAGTCTCAGTCATTCACTAAATTGCCCAGGTTGGGCTCAAACTTTTGATCTTCCTGCCTCAGCCTCTCAGAGTGCTGGAATTATAGGCATGTACCACCATACTCTACTTTATCTTTTTAATTTAATTTTATTGTTTGTGGTGGTAAGGATGGAACCCAGGGCCTCTGGCATGCCAGCAAGCTCCTAAGTCATCACTGAGCTATACCACCAGCCCTTGATATGTCTTTTGGGTTTTTTTTTTTTTTTTTTTTTCCAA